GGAAAAAAAAAGGAGAAAATTCCAGTTGTGTTTAAGGCCCCTACCACCAATGCTCATCAATATTATATTATAGTACGTGCAACTTCTTCCTATTCTCTTGCTTTTTGTCTTTGGATGGTGGAGATTTGAGAAGAGTCCAGGCCCCTAGGCCTATCTCAACCGTTCATCTGATTGACTGATTGATGTATTTGTCAATATGATAGAGATAGAGAGAAAAAGAGGTGGAGAGAGACTCTAGAGAGAGAAAGAGGGAGTTATGGTTTTCATTGGGTTTTGTTGCCAAGACAGACATTCTAAAAGGGCCAATCGTGCTTGTCACGTGCCATACCTCATCCCCGGCCCACCACCGAGTCGACACACCTGGCCCCCCACACACGTACAGATATAGGCAGAATTTTGGAGGAAATTTAACTCAATGTCCTCCGGTGCCTTAGATAATATATAGATTGCTAAGGATTTTTTTGGGGAGAGAGTCAAAAGATAGATAATATAGATTGCTAAGGCTTTTTTAGGGGGAGATAGTCAAAACTCAAAACATTCAACGAGTCTATGTAGAATCGTTCGAGTTTGCTCGAATCTTGAGCACCTAGGGCTGCCTAGTTTATTGTAGAGATCATTCTCAAATCCTCGCTACTTTGTTTCACAATTTTTTCCTCTTTTCATCTTTTAGGCCAACTCACATAGAGTCGATGAGCCAGCTCAAGAATTTCAAGTCGACTCGGATGAACGAGTGCTCGAGTCAACACCCAATCTATGTTTTCTAAACCAATAAAAAAATCTAAATCATTATTTAATTTGGTTAAAAAGATCCTAGTCCTCGCAATTCATTAGTGAGTTTGGGTAAAAAGATCACAAAAGAATAAAAGAAAATGGAAAACTAGGAGACCCATTCAGGGGTTTTGGTCCGGAATCTCGAGCTTCCCGGCTCAATGCACCTATAGCCAGATCAGCAAAATTTTAATCACTTTTGAAAAGTGCAGAGATAAAAAATGCGGCAATAAACCTCGGGATTTAAAATGCGGCGATAGGCCTCGGACTTGTATATTATGAGACTATATATTTTTAGTACAAGAACGTCATCATCACTTTTAACTAATGGATAAGAAATCCAATACATGAGAGTGTTGGACTTTGTGGCCAAACAATATCACATCCTCAACCGACCCGGATCTAAAATCTGATGATTAATGATGAAAATATTTCTATGAGGGTGCAGTTTGTCTAGAGCCAAGGCTCTAAAAAGTCAAATTAACACCCACCTTCAAATAGTGTCGAGAAATATAGTTTCATCGCTGGAAAGTTTTGTGATATTCTTAAGTTCTATTTTTATATTTAGTTATAAAACTTAAAGCTTCAAAAATAATGTAAATCGAGCAAATATATGAAAACTTGAAAATTGACGGTTCAAAAATGTGTTAAAAGATGCACTATTTTCAAAACTTCAATCCATTTTTTTTTCCTTATGTCCATGCATCTTGATGTGGAGATGATCAATTTAATGATATTTGCGAATCAAAACAACCTCATCTGATGAAAATTTTGAGGTAGGCTCTAATTTGATGGTTTAGAGCGATGGCTCTATGTATACTTTTCCCGTTCCATAAACCTTAGGCCGCTGATATGAACTTATCTTGTATACAACCAAAAAAAAAACATTATTTCTTATTTTAAAATCGAAAAAGGGCAAAATATAAGGTATTCATTTAAAATTCTGCTAGTCATTCAAATTTGGTACCAGAAATCAGCCACATTTTCGGGGGTTTTTTGCAGTCTTCTTGGGAATCTAAGTACGGCTTTAGCCGAAAGTTTACCCGAAATTTCGTCGAAATTTAAAATATCAAAAAAGAAGCATCTTTTTGTTCTTCTCTCTTACTCTTAGCACTAGGCCCCTTCACTGAGATCTCCATAGATCTTGTCATTCTGAGCCGTACATTGGGCACGTGCTCTAAAAAAAGCATCTTTTTTTTTTTGATTTCTCGAATTATTGGATTCGAACTCCTTTTTTTATTCAACATATTATTAATTTTCCACGCGGTGAAAGCAATTAATTTGTGCACCAACTTTTGACAAAAAGGTCGGATGGCCAGCTGGGTTGTGAGCCCCACCATGGTGACATCCACATTGAGAAGGGTGCATTACCAAATATGGGACCCACATTGTATGGATGGTCAGGCTGAGCCATGTATCCGGCCTAGATGAGGTGCATCCATCTAAACGAACGGCTGGGATCCATCGCGGGGGTGACAATTGTGATGCCTTGATCGTCGAAAGGCTAGGAACATCCGCATTGATAAGGGACCACTAGTGAGCATGGTGCCCACCCCGTACGGCCGGACCAGGTATTCAACATTTGTACGGACGAAATAAGATGCGTTTGGGTTGAATTGACGGTCGTGATACAATGTAAAACAGGGGCCTCAAGCAGTGAGATCCCGATCGTTGAAGGCGGGTAGGTCGTTTGAATTTAAGGGAAGCTCGAGGCTGTATGGTTGCATAGTTACTCTCATTGAGCTGGAATGGTCTAAAGTGACTATCCAGGATCAGTGTTTCAAAAACCGAGTGATATGGAATTCCAATTCATGATCGGAATAAGATTCGGTGGGTGGGCAATCCAAGTTCTCTCCACACCAGTGCCCCTGATTTTACTTTTTATTATTTTTCAGCCGATTTTTCACCAGTTCGGCCTTCGATACAATTTAAGTGCATGATCCCAAACCCCAATTCCAGGTTTCGAAACCCTGTTTGAGAGTGAATGCCTTACAAAAGCTTTAGAGAGTAAAGAGATGGTTTTTGTGTTTTAGTTCATTCCATTAGATAAGAGACTGATTATGGAGACGTGAAATTTAGAGAGACAAAATTTAGAGGATGTGAGAGATATACTCGATGGTGAGAGATGTCGCTTGGTAAAGACTTTCGTGCACAGGCTAGCATTTGGTCCTTAGCCAAGAAATGGAGCCCGAGTATTCACAGTTGAAAAAATTGGCGCACGTAAATGAAGAGAGAGAGAGACTCATGTAAATGGGGGAGAGAGAGAGATGCTCATGTAAATGGGGAGAGAGAGAGCAGGAAAGGGTCTGGGTCGTAGTAGTAGCACCCCCACACTTAGTAACCACGTTGTAGTTTCCAATCCTGCTGACACCACCCATTGACACCTTAAAAAAAAAAAGGGGGGCGGAGAGAGAGAGAGAGGCCCCAAAATAGTCAAGGGCGTCATGATCAAGAGAAACAGGCACAGACACTCATTTCAAGTTCCAATTGTCTAGCTATCCCTTTACAATTCTCACAATCTCTCTTGAAATTAATCTCCCCAAGAAAGATGTCCTTTCATGGTTTCCCACAAAACAGTAAGAGTATGCAAGCCTAACACAGCTGGACCCAAGCATGCACGCACATGGACGGTCCAGATTCAAACGAGAAGCAACATGTACTTCATCAAAGTTGTTAGCCCAAAAGCTCATCTGCACCATAATAAATGATTTGTGGGGACTGAAATGCGAAAAGAATCCATTTATTAGTTGCTTCGATCTGGATTCATTTAAGTATGGATGGTCATGATTTATGGCTTGAATATGAATGGCCAAGGTCTGAGCAAATGCATATAACCCAAGATATCCAGACCCTCCATTCCACAAAGTAGTCTGCTTCATGCTACTGTATAGTTTTGTAAGGTTTCGTAAGGCTAATTTCTCGTGCGGGAAGAAGAACTCTCACGAGCCTTTACTCGGTCCAGGCCTGGTCTGGAACTCTAGGTTCCCATGCCAGGCTCGCACCAGCACTGGTGTGGACCAATACCAGGTGTAGAGATCATGATAAGAGTCTACGATGGCCAGATAGAGAAATTTTGCAAGATACTAGTATACTACTAAGATGCCCTGAAAAAGGAATATGGTAAAGAGATCACTGGGATATCTAGAAATAGAAGCACTGTAAAAAGATCACTCACTGAGCTAAAAAAAAAAAAATTATGCAGAGATTGCTATGCCAGCCATCAGTCTCAGCTCATCGACATCTTACCCAAATACTGATTGTGACCTAAATTTAGTGGTGGAGCTACCTCTATTCTTAGGGCCAAGTGTTTGATCCTAATGATGTGGACAATGAAGCTTCTTGGCCCCAGTTCTAAGGTCAAGGGCCCAAACCCTTCGCATACCTAACAAAATAAATGTAGATTTAGGCGGGCTTTTGGGTACAAGACTTAACTTAGGACTGTCAAACTAGGTGGTATGTTATGTAGGTTTAAGTCAATTTCAGGGTTCAACATGCTATATTAACCTGCCACAACAAGTAGACTCTGGGCAATAATTAAGAAAATGTCATAAGTATGGGAGCAACTCTCATCAATCGATTCAAAACGCGTGGGGTCTTTGATTTGATTCCCGAGAATATCATAACAAAGGAGACATGTACAAGTCCAGTGCAAAACACCCTAGAGTTCAGAGCTCTCAAAATCAACATTTAGGTTTTGGGTTTGGATCCACATTCCTGCCTAGGTCAAACACCATTTAGGCAACCGAAAAATAATAAGCACTAAGGAAAACTCCAAAGTGTCGTTGCAAGAAAGCACATCACTCAAATTTTAGGTTCAAGTTCCTACTTGCCCTACCGAATGTTATAAGGATCAAGCTCCTAAACCTAGTGTCATGGAACTCCCTGAGTGCCTTAGATGTAAGTGCTATGTGTGTGTTAAAGCCCAATTGTTTTACCCCAATAGCATTTAGCTGTTGACTTCTGCAAGTGCATTTTGGGTTCAAATCTCTAACTTGCCCTTCTAAAAGATGTATACCAGTTCGAGAATAATTTCAAGAGCAATGGTGACTCAATTGGGAAGTATCATTTTCGTGTAAATCTAGAGATTACAAATTGAAATTTGGAAGTTAGTGCGAGCTCTAGGAATGTTTCCTTAAAAAAGATCATGGATTGTGTCATGTCAGCTTTGAGCCAGCCAAAACTGAAGGAACATGATAAAGTGGAAGAAACAAGTGATGAGGTACACAATCATATTGTTCATATTGAAGTTAATAAACACAAGAACAAGAATTGGGATTTCTTAGCAATTGCAGTTCAATGTCCCCAAAGATGCTATTACAAAATGAAACCAAAGTCAAGATATAGAGATTTATACATATTATAATTCCATCTTATAGAGCAAGAAAAATTGGGTGGAGGAACATATTGTCCGCAATGAGTTTATTCACTATAAATCAGGACCATTCATCCAGCCGACTCTTCAATGAGAAAAGAAAGGTGGGCCCCACCAGCCTCTCAGGAGTGACAGGGTTTGTGAGATAGTGCAAGAAACCCACCTCACTATGCAGGAAATATACATAGAATGTAGATGAAACATTTGCTTCATGCTTCATAGAGTCATAGCACAAAGAACACAAACAGCAACATGAAAAAGATGAGGACAGCAAATATCTTGATTAGAAGCCACCTGTTTGAAGATATTGAATTTAAATGCTTCAAAAGAGAGCTCCGGGCTCCTTCCACATTAGAGAGTGACTCATCCACATTATCATCTATCCTGCAACATAATTGATTTGTTGGTCCACATAGAAGACTAAAAATCGCAAAGAGACTCAAAGCAGTGTCAGCAGAAATATAAATGCTTTTAATGGGCTATGGATAAAATTGGAGCATGGATATCCCTTTCCGAGTTGAAATTAAAACTAAAAATATTTCCATATTTTGTCAAGGATGTGAATTTGGTTGTCTTGGGGGGACCAAATGTGACCAAATTGTATATTTGGTCGAACGGGCAAACCCCTTAGTTAAGGGGATTACTATAGTCTGAAGTTTTTCAAATCATTTATTTACTTCAACATATGATCTATCAGAAAAAAATAAAATAAAAATAATATATATATATATATATATATATATATATATATATATAGAGAGAGAGAGAGAGAGAGAGAGAGAGCTTGTAGAATCCTAGGTCAGAAATGGGCTCGCGGCTAGGTGGTCAGGTGGCGGGGGGCCACAACGTGATGTCTTGAGTTCCATCCCATAATGTGATGTCTTGAGTCCCATGTAGGGGTCCGCTTCCGCCTAGGAATCTCGATCTCGCGAATCTCGATCTTGCGCTCCGAGTGACTGGATCTCGATTCCAAGCGCTTCCTTGCTTATTTGGATCCCGTATCTAGAGTTATGGGAACATGATTCCTATTATCTGGGAACGAGGTCCTAGCAAGCGGGATCCAGATCCATATGCCCAAGATCATGGCCTCAATATCATTCGGAACCACAATTCCATCATACCAAGAACCGAGTACCCTATACCATGGGAGTGAGATGCACCTATAAAGTTTATTTTATTCGTGTATAGTATTCGGTTTTCCTCAAATTTTCTACAACACACGCATTTTGCAATGACATTTGTGTCCAATTTTAAAGAAAGGCAACTAGACTAGGGACAAGATTAAAAGGAGGTTCAAAAGTTAGCCGTGTTGCAACTTTATTGTGAAGTGAGGTCACGCTCAATACACTTCATTACAATAAAAAGGATGTGTTACACAATTTGTTGATGAGTTGCACAATCGGTTAATGGTGCATTTCTAATGAAATAAGGTAATATTATGTACAAGTCTCCAAGTACAGTCGGAATGGGTTGCACATTGTAACCCATTGTAAACTATAATTGTATTGTAATACTGAACTGATCAGGTTGTTTCAGTGTTACTGTGTACCATCTTTATGTGGACGTCTATCAGCTTGGGTGATACATGAAAGGATGACAATGGGTGGATGGCCATTGGTTGTGGCATGTATGCTGTTCATGTGTAAGCAAAATGAATCCAAATAAGGTTCAAGGACCTGCAGCCCCAAACACTAAGAAATCACACCATCTTAAATGCTCAATGACTTTTCTCGCCAATCTTCTAAAGTTAATCACTTTAATCCTATTGGCAAAGGAAGAGAAAAAGAAAAAGAAATACAACCATATCTTTATATTCATGTTTGGGATCACATTCTTGGGGATTAGGGTTGATTAGAGCACAACCTTGGTAGAAAAGATGCATAACCCATAGTATTTCACTCCTCTATCCATTCCCCCCACTCTCTCTCCCTCTATCCACCCAAGAGCCCATTATTAACATAGCAAAAAATGGAACTCGCTCCCAATTTACAATATACTTGAAATAGTGAACTCCGGAAACTCCGATTCTAAGAACAGCACAATGCGATCCCTTATGGTAGGGAACCTGCTCCCGTCCATATAGAAATGCGCTCCCTAGAAGACATCCAACTTGTTCCCTTTCCTAGACCATGTGCGGAGCTCGCTCCGCCATCTAGGGAACTTCGAGATAGACTCGATCCGTGCTTGCATTCCCATTCCCGGAACTCCTCACGTTCCTGTTCCTGGTAACTATGATTCCTACCACAGGTAGGGGACTCCATCCCCACATTATGTCTTGATCTGATCGTACATGAAAGGGACAATTCAGTCAATCTTGGACGTGGAATTGATTGAAGTATTTCTTATTTTTTAGATTGATCTTGGATATAATTACAGATGACTTGAGAGTCTTGAGATCAAACAAGTTCTCCTATCATAGTGTTTTAGGCCATGGAACCAGTTGCACAATTCGGGGATGGTATATATATATATATATAAAGGTTCAACTCCTTTATCAATTAAAAGGGTTCTCTAGGTTGGAAAGAAGTATAGCTATACAATAAGATACAATACACTATCACAAGAGAAGACAACTAAGATAAAGAAAAGAAAACCTTATAGCCAGCTCCCCTTGCTGTGCCACCATAGTTGCCAACTGCGTGAATATGCCGCCCAATTCTGAAATTGTAGATTCCACATTCTGGAGAGCAACTGCCCTATTCTGCATATAATTTTCTTGTCGTGGAACTGTCTGTTGTAACATTTGCATTTCCATATGGTGGGATGGTGGGGTGTCCCCAGTCAACCTTCGCCTGAAATGGCAAAGGTTCAATGCATGCTTATGGTTGTGTCAGGGAAAATGTATATTTATAAGAAAATGCATATTTACTGATAGAAGCAACGTATTAGTGCAATTATAAAAATATAGACAGCACAACAGTGTATGAGACATGGTGAAAAATTATCCAAGTAGTAATGCATCAGAACACAATAAAGTAGAAGAAATATGCACATTTTACGACTTTTAATTAATTCTTTTGGTTGGGGGAGTATGTCGACATTTGACTGGTGATAAAAGGGCTTTATTGCATAAGAAAGAGATCACAATTAGCGGTGAGAATTGACCCGATCCGAATCTGAAACCCGGATTTCAAGCCCTATTCGGATCCGGGTATGGACCCAAAATTTGAATCTGAAATCCAGATCCGGATCCAAAAGTCAAAGATGAATTAAAATCCGGATCGGATTAGGGGTGCAGGTGGATCGGATCCGGATTTGACCCGGATCCAAATCTGGATCCAACCCTTTTTTTTTAAATAGTAAATTTTTATTTTATATATATAATTTTTTTAAAAAATAGTATAGATATCATCCAGATCCGAACCTGAATCTAGATCTGATGTATACGATTCAGATCCGATTAGGATCCGAAACCAATGTATACTATTTGGATCCAGATTTGAATATCCAGGATCAAGTTTGGACCCGATCCGATATATACTATTCGGATTTGGATCTGGCCCCGATACAACCCGTTGTCACCCCTAATCACAATGAGGGAAACATCCAGACAAATTCAGAATTGTTGCATTCTATGCAAATTCCCTTACTACTTTCCAGGCGTTCCTCTCCATACCCGCCAACCTGAACATCCGTTGACATTAACTCCAACCTGCCCTCCTATAAGTATATCCATGCTCCAGTGATGTTAGACAATGGAACCAAGCCCTTATCGGTCATTCTCCAAAATCTCTATCCTTATGCACTGTTCCCACTCCTAAAAGTATCTGTAAGTTTTCCAAACCACTCACATCATCTCTCAAGATTGCTCCACGGCGATAACGAGGAAACATAGCAACTTTCATTGCCATGTTGCACTATATGAGCTTCAACATTCACATTAATGGATAAGTTCCCATCTGGATAGTAACTTATTGTCTCTCAACCATGCAGCAGTAGTTCCATAGATTTGCCCTACATGTCACTCCTTTAGCCTGATGTAACCCTGCTCCAGCAACTAGCATAGGCTATCAACCTTTGGTTGGCTCCTCCCCACTTTCCTCACCCATCAAGAAAGGCATGTTCTCTCCATCTTCATGTATGTTTAGAATACCATTGAAGGATTTATTTGTGTTCAATTGAGTGATGCTACAATTGAATTGGAATGAGGGTCAAAAAGGAAAATAATATGGGTGCAGTTTATATAAGATTGCAATCTTACTTGTAGGATAGTGTTAAATCTACACGATCCAAATAAAATGAATAGTATAGACTATTGCAACCTTACTTCTACAAATAAGATTGCAATATTATATAATTTTTTTTCCAAATAATATATAATAAAGAATAAAATGTCAAGGTTACATCTTGATTGATGCAGATGCTTAAGCCAATGGTGCTTGTCTAACTCTAAGGCCTACGTCTCAAGGCATATGCTTCTTGAACGATAGAGGCCACCCATCTCACAAGACCTTGGTGCTCAATCCTCAACAGAGGCTCAAGGCTGCTTGAGTGACATGAGCCTCATTTTCTTTGAAAATGTATACCAGACCCGTGCTTATACATGATTTTGTAATCACAGTTTTGCAATCAGAAGCCAGTTATAGAATGATGTTAGTAGCAATTTCCATCGCTGATCATTCAAATCCATTTTGCATCCACCTATAGCAAATTACTTGATTCATCAAAGGAAACTACCAAAAGAACAGTATGTCTTACAGTTTCAAACTTTACCCAAATCAAGTTCTTTGGGAAGGAAATGTGTTAGAACCATATAGAACAATATAGAAGAGAAGACACACCTAAGTTGATTACTGGTTGAAGCACCATTGGCCCTGCAAGGCAGACCAATGAGCAGAGTGAGATCCAGCCATGCCAATATATAGTATTCTGAAAGAACATAAAATATAAAACATTGGACATCTCCATGGCCAGCATATGTTTTTTATGCAATCAAAAGAAAGTTGAAAAAGCACAGAAATATCTTGAAATGCTTAAAAAATTAAAAAATTAACTCATACTGTCTATTTAGCAGTTGCATGTATATAATGTAGCAACAAGCCATTTCAAATTATTTGCGATATATAACAGTCATACGTAATACTTCAAAATAAAGCATCTCAGCTGAGACCTAAGTTCATGGTCAAAAGCACTATGATTTGATTTTAAATTATGAAATATAGAACTGTATAATTACACTACAGCAACAGCATGACATTAATTCCTGAATTAACATAATATTGATTCCTGAATGATTACATTCGAAGAGAAAAAAAATTGAAAAATACATAATAATGTTGCATCAAACAGATCCAATTAGTATCATCACCTAAATGATTATTTCAGATGAAACTTCCATTGAAACTTCTAAAACTTTGTGGGACCCCCTCCCCCCTCCCCCTCCCCCCTCCCCCCTGTGCTATTCTACAACAAGCTCCTTTTAATTTATATAAAACAAGCCCATGATAACATGTGCACAAGCCTGGCAGGTTGAGTGGAGCTTCAATTAATTGAGTCGAAGAAATTGCCCAACATAAAATACAGAAGTGAAATCATCCAAAAATAAAGCTCTATTAAATACCAAAACATTTGACACAGTCTGCCATTTTCTTCTTTTTTTCCCTAGGCAGCCGGCCTGGCATAGGGTGCCTAGCAAGCTAGGCAGGCAAGTGGAACCTCAGGTGCCGTAAGATGACAAATTTTCAGAAATATGCACATATGTGCAGTCCAAATGCATAAATATGCAGATATTTATGTCAATTTTGTATTTTTTTGCATTTATATATATTTTGACTGACTTTTTATGGAAAAGGATTGTATACAGTGAGACCATTTACTTTTGATACAAGGTGGTCACAATTCCTTACAACCCTTTGATGTGAAATTTGATAGCTTAGATGTGTCAAAGTTCAAGAAAATTTCTTTTGAAGTTTGAGCTTGGTCAATGGAATAATTGAAATTGGTTGGTCAAGATTAATGTGACCACCTTGTATCAAAGGTAAATGGTCCCATCCTATACTTTCCCTTATGCAAATATACACCATGAAAGTTGAAACATGCTCTATCTGATTCCATGCACCTATAAATCTGAAAGGCTAACATCTTCAAAAAAAGAAATGTTGAAACATGTTCAAAACTTCAAATCATTGAAATTTAGTGGACCTTAAACAAGTCTATAGTGTATTAGTCTCCAACTCTCATACTCCAAAGTGGCCTATGTTGCATGGGTACTGGTATCTGTGTCAATGTAGGACATGGGTATGGGGTATCCGATTCTTCGAGCCCCAAAACTAGGATTCGGCTATATTTTTTTATTTATTTGTCATTGAATGCAAAGTATGAAAAGAAATAGCAAGTTCTTCTTTTCTTCAATTCATAAAAAAAGAATCTAGTGCTTGCTAATGAATGCAAGGCTAGAATTAAATAAATTCTAATTCCATTTATGTGATTGATATCAAAAACAGCAATTTCTAGTGCTCTTGAATATGAAGAATCCAGAAGAATCCGTACCATGCGTGTGTCCATAAGTGTTTGACACGGGTATGAGACTCTTGTCGATAAATCCATGTAACATATTAGTGGCATACAATCACTCATAGACATAGAATCAAAGTTTCCAATAAGACCAATACAAAATGATGCAATATTAAAGATCAGATGAAATGCAAAAGAAAAGAAAGAGGAGAGAAATTTTTATGTTTTTCACCAAAAAATCCTCTAATACCCTCACTAGCACTCCCAATAAGATTACAAAAGCTTTTGGATGATTATTCAAACTTTACAATTGTTTTTTATTCAAAAAATTTGAAAAAAAAAAAAAGGAAGAAGAAGAAGAAAGAAGAGAAAAACAATTTTTGGGTGTTTGTAGTTGGGATTGAATTTATTTTTTAATTTTTAGCTCTGGGGTTTAGAATAACCCCAAATAAACCTTTTTCCCACTTGATGGGTCAAAAGACCCAAAATGCCCTTCAAGGGCTAATTTTTTTCCACCAAACTAGCGCCAGTTCTTGAGTGCCAGACCAGTACTACCTTCTGGCAGACTGGCACCCGCCTAGCCTGCCTGGGCAGTAGCCCACCTGGATGGGTGCCTAGGGATTGGCACCCTGAATATGCCCGCACAGGCCTAGACGAGGTGACCTAGGGCCCCACCTAGGCGCTAGGCAGGCTGTTTTTTAAAACAATGTGCACTACAAATGACAAGTTCGGCCATAGAAATTTCAAATCGCAAACAAGGTAATGAGGTCTTTAAAAGGATAATGCTTGCTTATGCCAAAGAAATAAACTAAACTCTTACTTATGCCAAAGAAAACAACTAAACTCTTAATTTTAGTACTTACAGGAAATGACTTAAATCTTGGGATCAACAAATAGATAAAATGAATATCTTCATTAGGAATTAGCCTTTGGTCTAGTGGTAAGACACTAAATTTGAATGTCAGGTTCAAGCATTGCAAATTGTCACAAAAAATACACCATCCTCACTTTTTATAAATTCACAAGAATCATACATTGTCTTTTTTAAATATTCTATCGAAGTACATAAAATCAGAATATATGCTGATTCAAAATGCATGTTCATAAATCTCTTTTTTATTTTAACAACAACATGAACAAACAAACAACAAGAAATGCATGTTCAAGTAATGCATGTTCACAAATCTCAAGTTTCATTTTTTTTTTTTTATTCAATTTCAGGATTTTTTTTTTTTTATTTTTTGGAAATTTTCAATTTGTACAATTCACCTATTTTTTTATTTCTTTAGATAAACTTTATAGATGAAAGAACAAAATTGTACATAAAGCTCAAAATAGTACGGATATGACCCTGAGGAGAAAAACTATACAACACAACTGCAGTCATTGTGGGGAGTAGAAACCCCATTGTCGCTCAATCCACCAACCAACTTAACAACGTCTGTGCACATGATGGAAGGCTTAACTGTCTCAAAAAATTATTCAGTAAAGTTTGTAATCCAACAGGAACCAGGGGTTATTCTAACCTGTTATATGACATTGAGGATGTAAAATATCTATACAGTTGCATCCATTATAGAGAGTAGAAACCCCACTGTGGGTCAACGCATCACTCAACAACACCTCCATGCACATAAAGGAATATCTCCACATTGCCGACAATCACAAAAATCTATTCAGTGATGTTTGTTATCCTCTAGGAGCTAGGGGTTATTACTAACCTGTTATCAAATTGAATCATCAAATTGAATCACCTTTTACCATCCAGGGCCCAGAGAACATAGAATTTGGGACACATAAATTTGCCCTTGCAACCACCACCAACGTCCCCTACCCCTATCCCAATAAAAGCTTTTCATTTACGTACAACTTATCCTTGATTAATCCCCAGGCCCATGCAGGACCCCTATTGAGACAAGAGCAGCCATCGAGGCTAAGCTTTAGAACCCCAACCAAATCACCAGAGTCCCAACTAGGGGTTCCCATAGCCACTAGAGTCCTACATTATTACATGGGTTCTCTACCCTATTCCCTTTAAGCACCTCCCCAGTTAAGGCTCATGAGGAATCATTTATCATCTAATTGTGTGCTCCAACCTTTTTGTCCCTTCCAACCATCACCCTAAATTCTCTCCTTAAAGAAGCCCAACAAACTGCACTCCAAGAAAGGTTTGCTATTCAAAAACTAAAGAAGATTAAAATAGACTCAACTGCTGATGTAGTCCCGAATTAGCCAAGAAAATGCTTCCAAACCCTCTTTTGAACTCCCAATTTTACCTATAAAACACTCCCAAAACTCTTTTCTGGCCTCTAAATGAACTTTTTTTTTTTCTGACAAGGTTACATAGGACTGGAACTTGAGACGTTGGGTTATGAAAACCTAGTCTGTACCGTCTTGACCCAAGCCTGTTTCCTGGCCTCTAAATGAACATTGAACAAGCAGATGTTGCATAATCACCACCTTTTAACACTAACATGTAAGTCCCTAGTGCCACAGAGGGCATATTGAGGGAATTGACAGGAAAGATGATATGCGACTCCCAGATCCATATCCACCTTTGGAAGTTGAAAAAGTACCACCTTTAATCCAACATTTGAAACATCATTTTCAACTATTGAACCTCTCTTCCTCTCATGAAGCAGGAAAAAAGTACGACCTTTAAATTAACAACTGAAAGATCATTATTAAATATTCTCTCTCTCTCTCTCTCTCTCTCTCTCTCTCTCTCTCTCTCTCTCT